TTTCAAGATGCAATCAGATTAATGTTTATGGATGCTCTTTAAAGCGTTCAGGTGTTTAGCAGTCTTATGGCCTGTGTGATGAAACTGTCCCTGAGTCTGGTGGTTTTAGTCCGGATGCTGGGGTACCGCCTGCCAGACGGCAGCAGACTGAACAGTTTGTGGCTGGGGTGATGGGGGTCTTTTGTAATCCGGAGGGCTTTCTTCCTGAGCCGCTGGGAGTAGAGGTCCTCCATGGATGGCAGCTCCGTCCTGGAGATGTTCTGTGCAGTTTTCACCACCCTCTGTAAAGCCTTACGATTGAGGGCGGTGCAGCTGCCGTACCAGGCCGTGATGCAGCCAGTCAGGATGCTCTCTATGGTGCACCTGTAGAAGGTCAGGATCCTCTCTATGGTGCACCTGCAGAAGGTCAGGATCCTCTCTATGGTGCACCTGTAGAAGGTCATGATCCTCTCTATGGTGCACCTGTAGAAGGTCAGGATGCTCTCTATGGTGCACCTGCAGAAGGTCAGGATGCTCTCTATGGTGCACCTGTAGAAGGTCAGGATGCTCTCTATGGTGCACCTGTAGAAGGTCAGGATCCTCTCTATGGTGCACCTGTAGAAGGTCAGGATGCTCTCTATGGTGCACCTGTAGAAGGTCAGGATGCTCTCTATGGTGCACCTGTAGAAGGTCAGGATCCTCTCTATGGTGCACCTGTAGAAGGTCAGGATGCTCTCTATGGTGCACCTGTAGAAGGTCAGGATCCTCTCTATGGTGCACCTGTAGAAGGTCAGGATGCTCTCTATGGTGCACCTATAGAAGGTCAGGATGCTCTCTATGGTGCACCTGCAGAAGGTCAGGATCCTCTCTATGGTGCACCTGTAGAAGGTCATGATACTCTCTATGGTGCACCTGTAGAAGGTCAGGATGCTCTCTATGGTGCACCTGTAGAAGGTCAGGATGCTCTCTATGGTGCACCTATAGAAGGTCAGGATGCTCTCTATGGTGCACCTGCAGAAGGTCAGGATGCTCTCTATGGTGCACCTATAGAAGGTCAGGATGCTCTCTATGGTGCACCTGCAGAAGGTCAGGATCCTCTCTATGGTGCACCTGTAGAAGGTCATGATACTCTCTTTGGTGCACCTGTAGAAGGTCAGGATGCTCTCTATGGTGCACCTATAGAAGGTCAGGATGCTCTCTATGGTGCACCTGCAGAAGGTCAGGATGCTCTCTATGGTGCACCTGTAGAAGGTCAGGATGCTCTCTATGGTGCACCTGTAGAAGGTCAGGATCCTCTCTATGGTGCACCTGTAGAAGGTCAGGATCCTCTCTATGGTGCACCTGTAGAAGGTCTGGATCCTCTCTATGGTGCACCTGCAGAAGGTCAGGATGCTCTCTATGGTGCACCTGTAGAATAATTATCCCATTAATAATGGGAACCTGAGTTTCTCAGTTCCCGATATGTGAAAAGTTGAACAATCAAGTGTTTCTATAATTGTCATTAGGTCATAAATAAACAGTTGTTATAGTTGAGTAAATGTTCAATTATTTGAATATATATACTATTTTCTAAGCTTATTAAGTTTCCTACTAAAAGTTTGGGAAGACAATGGTCTACCAGACACTGGTTCCCACCGTGAAGCATTGTGGAGTTCATTTTGGTTGTTTATTCGTTTATTTTCTATTTATTTTTTCAATCAATAAGCATTAAGCTGTTTAGTTGTGCAAGTTGTCATGTAAAATAGGTCTCAGTTGGGAAGGAACCTTGTTTCCAGTATTTGACATTTCCAGGTGATCTGTTTGGTATTTTGAGCAAAACACTTCATAGACATGTTTTTTATATTTTTGTATATATCTGAGACCTATGCTATTGCCCAGAGGTGGGGACTCGAGTCACATGACTTGACTCGAGTCAGACTCGAGTCGCATATTTTTTGACTTGAGACTTGCTTGACTAACATTGATAAAAGACTTGACTTGACTTTGACTTGGTATTCATGACTTGAGACTTGACTTAAGCTTGAGACGGATGACTTGAAAGGACTTGACTTTTTAAAATTAAATATTTGTGTTTGTTTTTGTAGTGAGATATTACGTTTAGTTTTTTCGAAAAACGTGATTGAGTGATTATAGCGCCATGCGCGCAAACCTGGCAACCCACTAGACGGCAGGAGCGTCAGTTAACATGGCAGCGGCTAGCGTTACTCCACAAATAGTGAAGTTTTGATTCAAGGATTATGTTGTCGATGACGCTAATAAGAAGAGAACAGCGGTATGCAGGGTCTGCAGCATAAAGATCAGTGACACGACCACAACAACATCCAACTTCATTCGTCACTACACAAAAACCCACAGAGAAAGGTGCGTGAATGTGTTGTGTTAGCTAGAAAGTTAACGTTAAGTTTAAGCTACGTTAGACTTGGTTTCAAATCGATTAAGCAAAGAGAAGACAAAACGGTAAATGAACACTAGAACCGCCAAGGGATTCATTTGTACTAACCCTGATACTGACGGGCCGTCAGGAGAGGGAGAGAGAGAGAGGAAAAGAGATGCCTCGTTTATTTCCCCTGTGTTATTATCAGAAGTTACTGTAAACTGTTGAATAATGTAGTTCATCTACTTTTAGTAGTTTGTTTAAATGTTTTAATTATGTTGTTTTTGTTTGTAGAAGTGCATCATTTCTTGATTTATTGTAAAATGAATCTGAACTTTTTGATCTGTTATGATGATAAACTGAAGCAATTTCTAAATTAACCCAATTAACTGAGTTTTAAATTGTCCTACTTTTACGTTTATAAGGAAATTATGAAGAGGAACAAATTAAATGATTTGAAAATGATATCTATGTAGGTGCTGACGCTATTGGCGGTTCTAGTGTTAACAGACATTTAAATTAAATATGTGTAATGGCAAATGCCATATACGATTTTCTTACCTGGAATTCTGCCTTTTTGAACAGACTGTTTGATTGAGTCCTAGCTATATTGTCTGCAGTTCTAGGGTTAATATTAATCTAATATGATTGTCATCGGTCTAAATTAGATTTCAAATGATTAACTGTGTATGTAATGAAGATCATAGTGTGGGTTAAATCCATTTTCATAACCACTGTCTTTTAACTGATTTAAATGCGGAAACTGGGCTTATTCATCAGAATTTCGTATGACTTGACTTGACTTGCTTGACTCTCACCACAAAGACTTGAGACTTGCTCATGACTTGCACATGTAGGACTTACTCCCACCTCTGCTATTGCCTACAAATAGCATGATAGGTCCACTTTAAGTTAAATGAACATCAAGTAATTACACATTAAAGGTTAATTGTCAACTTAGGACAAAAACGCTTAAACTCAAAAGTCAATTTCGTAGCTTTTTTCAGGAGATTTCCACCATTTTCACTCATCTTTAAAACGATAAAAAACGATGCTGCAGTTAATCCATAGGTTCATCCAATGTGTCTGTGTCCTCTTTGAAATGATTTCTGATAATCCATAAGCAATAAAACTGCTTTTCCGTTTCCAGATGTCAGAGCTAGAGATTGCTTCACTCTGATGCAAGCCTGCATGCGCAAAGCCCCCACCTTTTTGTGTTAATGTTGGAGTCTATGTGAAAACCCCCCATCGATTCTATTGGCTCTAACGGTCAGGAAAAGATTACAATCACCAAAATCGACCAATGGGTTCCAGAGAAACTGTAAAAACGCCCATTTACACCCAAAACACCCCAGAGGTGGTTTTTTTTTTCTAAACCTGGCTAAAAAGGTCAAATGTCACTTGTTTTGCATCAATCTCGATACAGGGTACTTATATGTTGTACTTTGGATTCCTAAAGCTTTTAGTCTACCATCCCATCATTCAAGGGTGGTTTTCACTATAAGTAATGGGGTTTTTTTAGGCGGAGGTAAGAATTTACCTTTTTTTACCATGTTCCATCTGAATTTATTCTGACTGAGAAAAATCTATATTGATTCTGACACTTCTACATCCAACTCACAGATGTAACCTTGCTTTGATAAAATAAATTATTCATATAACCCTTTTAGAAGTTAAGTTGTAGTCATTTGTTTTGGGCATGTCATTTTCGAGCCTGAAACATGAAAACCAGGCTTGGTGCTTAACAGGTTAAGACAAAAGTCATGAAAGTGTAAACTGATCCATCTCCATTATTAGCATCTATATCTTCCCAACTGATGAAGACCTTGTGATCCCACTGAAGGTTCTGGAAAACCGAGAAATAGAGAAGATGTCCAACTAATTTAAAAGGTGAAAGCTGCTAGGTGAACCTTTTATTGTTAGTTGAAGAAATTGAGAAAGGCTCAGAAAAAAAAACGTGTTTTCTTAGTTTTATTACAGAATTAGATCCAAAAACAAGAAAAACATCCAACAGTTCAGTGGGTACTGTTTCCTAGTACAGTAACAGAAAGAAATGCTTTTTTTTTTTTAGACTTTAACACTTGGAGAGAAGTGACTCATTCTGCCATGATCGTTGTAGTTCACATGGAGTGGGTGCTAAAATCTTCTAATGACAACAAAACTGATCAATCAAGCTTATAATTGTAAAATGAACCACAGAAATGACTCTTCTCACAATCTACTAAACACCAAATCCTTCAAACTTTGTGAAGAAAAGCATAACATGTGAAATATGAGTGGATTGCTATACGTTTTATTACAATTAAACAAAAATAAAACTCAAAACAAAATAACAGTTTAGCCGATGAGATCAGTTCATTAAGGCATTTCCCTTCTTTTAACTAAAATTACTAATTCATGCCTGTCTGCTATTTTTTGCATAGTCATAGTCACACACACACACACACACACACACACACACACACACACACACACACACACACACACACACACACACACACACACACACACACACACACACACACACAACACCACACACACACACACCAACACACACACACACACACACACACACCACACACACACACACACACACACACACACACACACACACACACACACACACACACACACACACACACACACACACACACACACACACACACACACACACACACACACACACACACACACACACACACACACACACAAAGTCTCCCAAAGAAACTCTTTAAGACACATCGTAATTTTTGTCATTATTTTACACAGCATGTAGGATTAGAGGTAAAGTAACATACATGTGGTAATAAATTAGGATCGATTAGAATAATTATTTTCCCTTTGTGAAACATTTTTAAGTTTCAAAGTCAACATATATGAGAACAAACATTTGTTTCTGAGTCTCTGAAGTTATTTGAAGGTAGTCGTGGTTAAATAGCTGTACAGAAGATTACATGTGATTGTCACTTTCAAATCACATGATCAAACAAATATAATTAACTATTCTCCCGTAAACAAGTTCTTACATCAGTCATTACGACATTAGAAATAGACGGAAATTATTCGTTTTTCAGTTTGGCGGTAAAATATATCAACAAAAGATATGTTTCTTTCTTAAAAGGAACATAGAATTTATATTTTATTCTTTATTACTGTCCTGCTGCAGTAACTCTTCACTTAAGCACCAAATGTGTATTATTGCTCCAGTGCCTGCAGTGTTTCAGGTCATTTCTGAGCATTTGACCGTTTTTTTGTAATGACCTGTGCTCAGAGGATAAGGAAGCACTCAGGACTTTGCATGATGACCCTGTGTCAATGCCGTTCGACAAAAACATGTTTTATCTAAAAGCATACATCACAATTCATGTGTGTCTGTTGTTAAAGTTTGATATGATTTGCTTACACACATAATGACAATATACAGCAGATTCTATTCATGTCCTGTTATTTCCTTGAATGTAAAAAAATGCTGCAAATAGTAGCTTGAGCAGCGTTTTCTACTGAGTGGTTTAACCCTTTTGCAGGTTTCAGGTTTCACGTGCTCTCTCACTGCACTGCACAGGATCCGCTGGGCAGGAAGTCCTGAACGTACACCGCCACGGCCTTGGTGAGGTAGGTCATGCTGCCGAAACGACCACTGGGGGCGCTGTCGTAAAGCAGCCGGCACACTCCTGTGGACGGGTCTCGCTCCAGGATGTGCTCCTCTGCTCCCAGGTCCTTCTGCAGGAAGAGGAAAGAACAACATCCTGTCTTTAGTGGATTGCGTTGAATACTCTCTGATGGTTGAAAAGGCTCCTAACTGAGGGAAATGACCCTTAGGTACATAAGTGGCAAGGCAATGCAAACATTAACAGCGTTATGGCTGGAGCCACACGAGGACGATAACGCAAACGGACCGAAATCAAAATAGTCTTCCGTCCACACGCAACAGGCACCAGAAACGTGTCCGTTCACACGAGACCGCTCGAAAGCGCTGGAGACGCTGTAGTACATATGCCGGGCCTGTAAGTGGCGCTGTAGTCTGCCACAAAAGCAGCGAAGAAGACTTCCCGCGCATGGTTGCCATGGTTGCCCTTCTGTTTATTCTCCGCTCTGGCTCTTTTTCTCCCTCCCCGAGGCAAGCGTTTGCTCCTGCTGTAATTCTCTCCGGTTAGTCCACCAGCAGATGAAACACACCCACCTCTCCACCTCTTCCAAGGAGCGAGGGGACCGTGCAGCAGAGTTTCAGTTAGATTTTTTTTCGCCAGTCAACATGTCCGTTAAAGTTGAAATCTTCCGGACAAAATTAGAAAAGTGCCGGTCAAAGGTCTTCTTTCTTATTTATTGAGCTTTAAAACAAATTGATAACGACTCTATATAATGATATAAGAATAAAAAACGGAGCCTCTCTTTTCCTCCCCCTCTCCTGACAGCCCAGCAGCTGATCTTTGAGCAGGAGAGGTGGGAGAGGCGGGGCTTCAACGTTATCAGGACATGATCGTATAGGCGTAAACACGGGGGCCGTTTGCCCCCCCAGAGCGTTTCGTTCGCAGATCTACCCACCTTGGGACCCGTTATCGTTATCGTTTTCTGCGTTTCCATGTCGGCCTCGTGTGGCCGAACCGTCTATGATAGAGAACTGTAGCGGATATGACCGTTATCTTAAGATTTTAATTGACATAACTACACTGTAGCTATGTACAAATGACAATAAAAGCCTTGAATCTTGATAAGATACACTGGATGTATGCGGTGTTGACGTCCCGCTCACCTGATCCTTGTAGAACATGTCGTTGGCCAGGTGCACGATCTTCTCCACGTGGATGATGGATCCGATGCTGGGGATTTCCACGTCGGCCAGCATGGTGAGAACCAAGATGGCTTCCACCAGCAGCTGCCGGTACTCAGGCTGAGGGACGCGGTTCAACACCGTCTCCACGTGCACCGAGAACTTGATCTCTCCTGGTGTCATCTGGAGGAAGGAGGTCAGAAGAGAAAGAAAAGACAAAGATGCTTACATGCTAAATAGCAGCTGTGGGTAAGGGGGTATGGATGTGGCATCAGAGTAGAACACATGTAAGAAGAAACACAATAATTAAGTCGTCATAGTGTTGTTTTCTGTGGACAGTTTTCATGTGGATCTCTTACCTCTCTGGTGGTTGAAGAAGGAAGGACAAAGCCCTCTATGGACAAACCGTGGCACTAGAAGACAATGGGTTTTTTAAGGTTATTAATTTATGTGCAAAAAGTTTTCACTATATCAATCCCACATGACAATGTTCCTCTATAAAATGCTACAAAAAACGCCGGAAAGGCTATTACTCACACACTTTTCACAATTACATTTCCTTTTTTCACATTTAATAGTTTATTTAATTGTAGTTTTTATAATATGTTGTTCTAGTAGTTTGCCATCACTATTGAATTAGAATTTTTTTTTTTATATATTTATCTTGTGTTCTCTATAACATGTTGATATGTAAAAGATTTTAGGTGGAGGCTTCAAATACATTTGTGATCTGCTATGTTTTTGCATTATTTAATAGGGCAAAACTAAGGTTAACACAACAATGAAATGTATAGGATGAGCCAATGGGTCAAATCAGGCCTAAAAACAAATAAGAAATAATGTTTAAAGCTCACTTTCTGCAGGATCCTCCAGACTTTCTGGTAGAATCCGACGGGCACTCGGTTCAGCGCTCCGTCCAGACGCCTCCTGCGCAGCCATTGGCCGTGCCTGGTATCCTTGGCAACCGGTATGCATTCCGGAATGTCCAGGGATTCTATGGAGGGCAGCCTGTACCTCTGATCAGAGACACGACAACAAGTACAAAGTTATTTAAAGATCTTATAGATTATTGTGGGAGAACGGCGCCCTCTTCCTGTTTGTAAACGCACAAATCCACAATAATGATGTTGGCTGCATGAGGTGAGGCAGAGACGACTTTAAAATATCTGATAAATAGACAAATGTTTACCCCAGATTCAAAGTTTTCTATGTCCATTGACTGAGATCGCATTCCCTGAGATGAATAAAAGAAACAAAAAGATGCAGTGAAAATAGTGTTGACAACAACAACAACGATGACAACACAACCGCACAGCCAGCGGACTCCTGCTTCCTGCTTTGCTAAATTAAAGCATGCATGGATGATGGGAAATGATTAAAATGAGGTTAGAAAAAACAAGGGATGATGGGTAAATTAAAGAATGAACTTTCAATAAGCGTCACGTTTGGCAAAAGAAATAAAAACTCAGCGCACACAAGTGAAAAATAAAACACCATCATCTTGAAACAGCAAATTAAAAAAGCACTAGTGTGTTTTTTTTGTTGGTATAAATACACTTTGGAGTCAACTACTGTAACATTCTCAAACACAAGTAAATTCCAATAAATAAATACAAATATTTAAATTAATACATTATTATTACAGCCAAAAGAAAAAAAGCCAATAAACCAATTTCAGTCAGACAACTCACGTGTTTCTTTAACATGTAGTTAATTGGCTTTTTTTAAATTAACTTATTAGAAGCAGCATATAGTTGAGTTTGGCGTCTAGGCTCGGGCCTCATCACTCCACAGATATACATAGCACGATGAGTGATGATTAAATAACTAACCCCCCGAGCCTACAGGTGGACGCTGGGGTGGAAGCAGGGGTGGAAGCAGGGGTGGAAGCTGAGGTGGAAGCTGGGGTGGAAGCTGGGGTGGAAGCTGAGGTGGAAGCTGGGGTGGAAGCAGGGGTGGAAGCAGGGGTGGAAGCTGGGGTGGAAGCTGGGGTGGAAGCTGGGGTGGAAGCTGGGGTGGACGCTGGGGTGGACGCTGGGGTGGACGCTGGGGTGGACGCTGGGGTGGACGCTGGGGTGGAAGCAGGGGTGGACGCTGGGGTGGACGCTGGGGTGGACGCTGGGGTGGAAGCAGGGGTGGAAGCACGGGTGGAAGCTGGGGTGGAAGCTGGGGTGGAAGCTGGGGTGGAAGCAGGGGTGGAAGCTGGGGTGGAAGCAGGGGTGGAAGGTGGGGTGGAAGCTGGGGTGGAAGCTGGGTGGAAGCTGGGGTGGAAGCTGGGGTGGACGCTGGGGTGGAAGCTGGGGTGGAAGCTGGGGTGGAAGCTGGGGTGGAAGCTGGGGTGGAAGCTGGGGTGGAAGCTGGGGTGGAAGCAGGGGTGGAAGGTGGGGTGGAAGCTGGGGTGGAAGCTGGGGTGGAAGCTGGGGTGGAAGCTGGGGTGGACGCTGGGGTGGAAGCTGGGGTGGAAGCTGGGGTGGAAGCTGAGGTGGAAGCTGGGGTGGAAGCTGGGGTGGAAGCTGGGGTGGAAGCTGGGGTGGAAGGTGGGGTGGAAGCTGGGGTGGAAGCTGGGGTGGAAGCTGGGGTGGAAGCTGGGGTGGAAGCTGGGGTGGAAGCTGGGGTGGAAGCTGGGGTGGAAGCTGGGGTGGAAGCTGGGGTGGACGCTGGGGTGGAAGCTGGGGTGGAAGCTGGGGTGGAAGCAGGGGGTGGAAGCTGGGGTGGAAGGTGGGGTGGAAGCTGGGGTGGAAGCTGGGGTGGTGGTGGGGCAGACAAGCAGCAGCGACGTGGAAGTAGCAATAGCAGCAGCAAGCAATGCATGGAGAGAGATCTGGCAGGTTAAATAGAGCGGCATATTAAGGAGACTCTGTTTGGTTGGTTGTAGAGTGGCAAGGAGCGTTATGTATGAATGCAGCATAAGTGCTCGAGTTGACTGCCTGAACTAGCTCGCAGGCTTCGCCCCATTCACCAGAGAATTATAATAAATACATTAAATATATATTGATTTATTTATTTAATGTATTGGCTGCAGAAAACACCATTTGTGACTATTTCTTAGTCTCATTTTAAAATAAAATAAAAGTCAGATTATGAAGACAATCATCAGTTGCAGCTCCACTTAGAATTAATAACAATTATCCAGCACTAAATATTAGCAGCCACAAAGTAGCGTAGTGTTAATGGCTCGTATGATCTGCTGCATGACTTTTAGTCTCACAAGAATTCAATCCAAATAAATCGAGTTTAAATGTCGATACTGTTGTCACCTTGCGAGAGAAGGAGAGTGACGGGTCGAGCTGAAATGGAAAAGAAATCCACTCTGCGTTACAAACGTCCGAAAAACACAATTGACCTAAAACCAAGAACAGTATCTATTGAATGTATTTATATATTTATTATGTAAATTATTATACTAAGTTATGTATACCTTAAAACTGTCCAATAAATCTTCTATGTTCCTGAATCACATTTACACTTAGAGTATTTAACATAATGTTTAAATAACTGATGTCTTTAAAAAGTAAAAGGAGATTAAAGGTCTCCTATCATGCAAAAATATGTCTTTTATACATAAACATGTGTCCCCGGTGTGTCAGGGAACTCACGCAGCGTCAGAAAATAAAACCCTTTCTCTTTTCCTCCGTACCCACATCTTTTAAAAACGGGGGTACAACGAGCGGATACAGATTTGCTGCCGATATGACGTAATTTCGGATGGCGGACCCACAGAAAGTTGCTATCAGAAACAATGCCTGACGTGTTTTGGACGTAATATGGTCATTGTTTACATTAGCAAGCCTCGCGATGTGGTTTAGAACAGGATGGCGTTTTATCACAGCAGAATGTAACTTTATCTCCGGTAGAATTCTGATCAGGCATTAGCTCCGCCTCCTCTTTTTTTTTTTTTTAAACTAAAGGTCCCATGTCACGGCCATTTCTACTGATCATATTTCCATTGCTGAGGTCTACTAGAATACATTTACATTGTGCAATTTTCCAAACTCACATTGGTTTCTCAAACAGCATCTCTGTATAGTATGTGTATTCACTCTCTGTCCTAAACGGCTTGTTGGAGCTCCTGCCCCCCCCTCCCTGTGAGCCCAGTGGCCGTCAGCGAGACAGCGTGACACAGCAAAACCCAGCCCGAAACACACACACACCCGCAGCCTGGCTGGGAGTTTGTGTGTGTGCCCAGGCTGAGTTCCGCGGTGTCTCGCTGTCTCGCCGACCCCACACCAGTGAGCCACCTCACAGTGTCCCGCTCCTCGCAGCAGCGAGCCTCGCAACGTCCCGCCGAGTGTGTGTCTGTGTGAGGAAGTCCGCGGATTGGTCCAAACGTAACGGCTCCGCGGATAGGTCCATTTGATTTGATTTGGACCAATCCGCGGAGCCGTTACGTTACGTTACCCGAAATACGTCACTATACCCAAGAAGTAAACAATGGAAAAAGAGAAATCTCCAACGAGGCGTTCTGGGGCAGCATAGACAGGTCTTTTCTGTGTTAGAGTTTTACTCGCTACAGGGTGTACTTTGAGGGTTTGTGACCCTGCAGAGCGTTTACATGCAGAAAAACCTTCATAACACACAAGGGGACGGGTAATAACCAGAAAAGCATGACATGGGACCTTTAAGCTAAGGACCCAAAATCCGCGTCTCTCTAACAGGGCTGGAACAGAGGGGTATGAGGGATGTCTAAAATGCATGATCTGTTTGTATTTTGAGCAAAACACATCAGACATGTTTTTATATATTTTGATATATCTGAGACCCATAATATATGCCTACAAATAGCATGATAGGTGACCTTTAAACTACTAAATAATGCTGCCATATTTAATATTCCTTCATGTGATAATCACCTTAAACGGTTCTGCCAAGGACAACCTGTGCTCCGCCTGCAATAGAAACCAGGCTGTTGACATGTTTTAAGAAATAAACCTCAACAATTCATTGATTCATCTACGCATATTGATGATTCCTCGGGCAAAAAAAAGTACATTTGCCACAAAAAAATCGACAATTAGCAACAGTTTTTCTTAATTATTTCCACATTTCTCCCTTCGATGCAGCTGGCCCATTTTTATTTCTCCACTATTATATATTTGTAATCAATATGAGCGTCAGCCAGGTGGATTAACACCTAAAATCATCTCCATCACCTGACTGGAGTCCAAAGACAACCTGTGCTCCAGCTGTGGAAAGACAAAAGTCAGATTGCCAAGGAGAAGAAGAATATTTTCCAAATAAAAGACTATCTTCGTTAATCTCTTACCCCAAAACTCATCATCATCATCATCATCATCATCATCATTAAAATCTTCACTTTTAAAGACACACTGGAGATAAGTACCTTGATAGTTCTCAAAGTAACTTCAAAGCACTTAAATATTTTATTTTAAAGGTATTTATTTTAATGTATTCTTTAATCAGGACCTCTTTTGCTTACTGTACATAAGGATATCTTATCCTAAAGTTGCAACTACTACAGCAGTCCTAAAAGAGCATATGATGTAATGTTATGTGTTGCAAAAAAACACACTATTTATTCAATTCAACAATTGTTTTTTTGTTGTTTAAAAAAAAAAAAGGATTAAGGATATATTTTTTTGCTTAAATCGGCATTTTCAAAAATGATAGACTATACATATATAATACTAAATAAAACTTGCCTATTGTGTCAACAAATTATTTATCGACTACCACACTATATATTCCATGTCAATTTAGAGTCAGTAATATTTTAGTTTATCAATTTGACACTGCTTAAGTTTGTATAGTATAATAATTCTCATGTTTCATTTCATTATTATTATTATTTTTTTGTATTATTGTTTTACAAATTTCGAAATCAAATCAAATCAAATCAGATGTCTAAGTGAGAAGCGGGTCGTACCATCTTCATGTCGCTCTTCAGTTTGCTGATCCCCGCTCTCTCGCTCTTGGTTGCTCCCACGTTGCCTAGGTGATGGATGGAGATGGCAGGACTGACGCCAGCATCCAAATCTCTCACTGTGGAGCGGGGTAAAAAAAGAAATTAATACATTTATTACTATTATCTTTGTATTGTTATTTCTGTTGTACCTATATGTTCACTTTGTTTCATGGGGTTTTATATTGTTGCATCGACTCAGGTGTCTTGTGTCGGTGCCTTGCTCAAGGGCACCACGGCAGGGCAGGAGGTGGACTGGGACCTCTCCAAGTAGCAGTCCACACTCCATATTTAGGTCTGTTCGGGGACTTGAACCGGCGACCCTACGGCTCACAGTCCAAGCCCCTACTGACTGAGCCACTGTAAAGCACTTTGAGCTGCATGTGTTGCATGAAAAGTGTTATATAAATAAAGCTTTGTGTATGTATGTGTACGTATATGTTTGTATATTTTTATGTATGTATGTGTATGTGCTTGTATATATGTGTGTGTGTTTAAGTAGATACATGTGTACAGTTGTAGATATTTGTCATTTCAAACAATCCCTGTGTACTTTTTCGTTTTTATTTTATTTTACAAATTTTGTACGGTATTTAATTTGTCATTTTCGGGTCTCTAAAAATATATGATTTGCAAAACTGTACTTTTAATATAATGTGACCCCAAATAAATTAAGAAAAAAAAAAATAAAGCTTTATTATTATTATTATGGTAATAGAAGAATCTGATTGGCTGTGAGGGGTAAGCAGGATTGTGATTGGTGGACTGACCGCTGCGCTGCACTCCGAACTCTTTCCCGCTCAGGATGTGATGGAGAAGGTTCTTCAGCTCTGACGGACCGAGACTCATCAGACTCTCCGTGGCCTCCTCTCCTGCAGGAAGATTAAGAGAAGATAAGAAGTACTTATTGATCCCTGTTAGAAAAAGATCCCTGGTCCCCGGCTTGATCTTCAATCTCAGGATCCATGTATTTATTATCCTCTCCAGAATGGAAGTAGTCATCACATACAGAGCATCAACTAGTTCCTGAACAGTGTCCTTCACATGCTGATATCCAAGAGAGGGAGTTACACAGTCACAAGATGGAGGAATACCGGTTCTTGTAGGTAATCATACATCTTTTTTCACAAAATGTTGGCTTTTTTCTGAAAATCTCAAAAGAAATTCTCAAAATTCTGACTTTCTCAAAATTCTGACTTTTTTCTCAAAATTCTGACTTTTTTCTCAAAATTCAGATTTTTTTCTGAAGATTCTGACTTTTTTCTCAAAATTCTGACTTTTTCTCAAAATTCTGACTTTTTCTCTAAATTCTGACTTTTTCTCTAAATTCTGACTTTCTCAAAATCTCAAAATGTTGTCGTCAAGAATGGAAGTCGTCATCACAGTATCTCACCTGTGCAGTTGAGGGACTGGGCGAGTTCGGTGGCCATCACCTGGATGATGAGTCCGATGCGGAGCCGGAACATCTCGCTGAACAGACTGGGCTGAGTCCTGATGCTCATCGCCAGGTACACCATGATCTCCTGAGGGGGGGGGGGGGGGGGGGGGAGATAAAGGGGAGGAGGATAAACTCCCACATGTCGATTGATAACACTACAAAAGTATTTTATAAGACAGCAGCTATTTCCAATCTTACACAATCTTAAACATCGAAATAAGTTTACTTCTGATATGCATTTAATTTATTTGCCATTATTTTCTCTTGTCATGTGTCTCTGTTTATTTTATCTTACCTATTTTTTTAGATTTGTATTGGAGTCACATATGAAGCTCAGCGTAAGTTCAACCAGGAAGACCGTCTTTACTCATTCATTTACTATTCCCATGTAACTACTCTCTCTCCTCTCAATAAGTGATCGGGGGCGTCACTCCCCAGCTTAACCAATCACTTCGCTCTATTCCCAAGAGCCGATCATAGCGCTCTGACAAACCTTTTAAGTCTGCTCTCCCCCCTCTGTCAGCTGTCATTTCAGGTGACTCTACGCAACCCTCCTCCACCCCCTTTTCACCTCCTGTCCCTCCGAATCCAGGGTCAAGCTAAGCCCCTCCCCTTCAGACCGACCCAACTATCCATTCACCACCACCAGGGTCAAGCTAAGCCACTCCCCTTCAGACCGACCCCAACTATCCATTCACCACCAGGGTCAAGCTAAGCCCCTCCCCTTCAGACCGACCCAACTATCCATTCACCACCACCAGGGTCAAGCTAAGCCACTCCCCTTCAGACCGACCCCAACTATCCATTCACCACCACCAGGGTCAAGACCCCAGGGGGGTTTCATCGGATCGGTTCTACCCTCCCGAATGATACTTCCTGCACAACGGGGCCTAATCGCCATCTTTTTCGTTTTTACCAGGATATTTACACACAACCAAAGCACAAACAAAACAAAACAACAGAAGACAATTATCTTACCTATTTCAAACCAATGATTAGACTTTCTTTTAGGGTATTTAGTTAGTGTTAGGTGTTTCTTAGCTTGTTATGTCTCTGTATAATACATGAACTTGATCCACTTCTAGATGCCTTAGTAATATGTGACCTGCTCCATCGAAATCAGTCGCATTGACCCGAAGACACATTTTGAGTTGTATACACTGTTGGAAAGAGGAGATTCCTAGCTTTCTAATGAAATCAGGATTGTTGTTGTACTCCAGATATTAAGCAAAATATGTTACATTATATAATGACTGTCACCGAGACATCATTTTGAGAAAGAGGCCTTTAAAGTGTCCTCTTCTCTGGAATCCATCGATCTGATTGGTTATTAGCGGAGCAAATGATCAAAATACTACGGAGGGAAGATATTTTCGTTTGGATTACTGGTCTGGGGGAAGCTCGCGAGTGTGTGTGTGTGTGTGTATACGTGTGTGTGTGTATTTTTGCGTTTGTGTGTATTGTGTTTGTTTCCCGGGGAAAACACTCACGAGAAACACCGGCTGTTCTTATGCCTGCTGTGACGTCAAGTTACTCCGTTCTCCGCTTGTAATTATGCCGTTACAAGCTTCAACGTTGTACTTATCATCTGAATTTGCCGAAACAAGTTTAATATTCTGAAAGCCAAGACTTTGTTTATTTGAAATCAGATGAAAACAAACTGCCACGGAACCTGCCATCACGGCAGGTTCCGTGGCAGTTTGTTTTCATTTGATTTCAAATCAGGTTCCGTGGCAGTTTGTTTTCATCTGATTTCAAATCAGGTTCCGTGGCAGTTTGTTTTCATCTGATTTCAAATCAGGTTCCGTGGCAGTTTGTTTTCATCTGATTTCAAATCCCAGCGTGGGAGGCGATGAAAACAAACTGTCACGGACCCTGCTGTGTTATCTATGATTACCATACGCCTTGCATTCATAATGTCAGCCGGAGGGAGGGGAAGCGGCGCTGCGGAAGAGCAGAGTGCGAGTGAGAGCTGTCATCTTCCCTTTACAAGCTTCAAACATGTATTTATCGTGTGATTTCGGAAATAAAAGTTTCATATTCTGAAAGCCAAGACTTTGTTTGTTTAAAATCAAACAAAACACCGAACCCCGAAAAACAATTTTTTTACGCAAATCCACGTTTATTTTGAAATGAGCCGTTGCGACTTCCGACTGATTTCGATAGAGCGGGTCACATATGTTCTTAAAATACTTTTTTTAAAGCTTCGGATAACTTATCAAGTAGTCCCATTTAACATATTTTCATTCTGTCTTATAATTGCTCTTGTACTTTTAACTCTCTTTGAATAATTGAAGTGTAAAATGGTGTATATTGACTTTCTTTATTACTTTATTAAATATAACAAAAGACAAACTTTGTCCATGAATCATTTATCAGTTTCTCTTAAGAATTTCCACCACAGTTTTCACATATTTCCATTCTGTCTTACTTACTGTTTGTGATTAAATGAATGAAACAATGATGGTCTAATGAGAATGACCTGCGTGAGGATGGCCACGCTGATGTTGTTGTCGCTGGTCTGATACGCGGTACATTTGTTTACATCATTATAATAACTGAAGTGTAAAATGGTGGTTCAGGGTGTGTCTGACCTGCGTGAGGATGGCCACGCTGATGTTGTTGTCGCTGGCCTCGTCGATGAGAGCTGCCAGCTGGTCCGGAGGAATTGGAGCCGTGATGGTTTTCTCTCTGGGCTCCGGAGGAAGACCCACTGTCAGGTGCTTCTGGTGAGCCAGCAAATCAGAGCAGGCCTACAGGGAGATGACAGCCAATCAGAGAAGAGACAGGGGCCACATGTGCAGAGGAGGCAGGGGATTGTGGTGCTTTTTTGTCTCACTCAAGAGAAATCAAACAACATAATTTGACAAACGAAAAGAGAAAATAGGTGTTTTTTGTGAAATGTTACGTAATACCAAACCTTAATTCCACTTATTTCATCACGAGTGTGTGTGAGAGTGTGTGTGTGCGTGTGCGTGTGTGTCGTACCGAGTCCAGCTCCTCCACCTTCTTCTTCAGCATGCCAGAGATCATCCTGATGAGACCCCACAGTTTGAGGTCCCCCACCTTCTCATAGAGGTCAGACAGAAGGGACCTCACTGTGGAGCCTTTTCCGTGCAGCTGGGTGTCCCAATCCATGCCCCTGGGGTCAAAACACACACAAAAACACCACTTTATTACCCTTTTTTTTAACCAAGTTATTGTTGTCTCTACGAGTCAAGACCTTTTAGGATTGACATGACCTGCGCTCCCAAGATTTTATACAGATTCACCCAAAACTGGGTAAAAAAGCTTTTAAATATGCTGCCCCTTCTGCTTGGAATAATGTACAGAAGGAGCTGAAACTGTCAGATTTGATCACTATGGGGGAGTTCAAGTCCATCTTAAAGGACAGAGAACAAGCATCCATTGGTCGATGTGATTTCTCGTATATCCCATAATTTAAGTCGTTTGAATTTACGTGGTTAAATAAAGGATATATATATATATATGACGGTTAGAAAACAGCTCAATAAAGCTGGGCGTCTCACTTGTCTTTGAAGAGGATGTAGAGGATATCCGCCTGGTCCTGCAGACTCTGAGTGTCTCTCAGCAGCTGGACCAAAGAGTTGTAGTCGATTCCTCCGCTGGCGTCTCTGGGGATACCGCACTCTGATGAGGCCTTCGCATCCTGGAGGACAGAGGAGGGACGTTAAGGCTCTATAAGTGGGGACTTTTTGACTACAGATGGGGTCCAAAACTAGCAAGCCACATGAATGTCTGGGAGCAAATTCATTTAAAAAAGTGGCCAGGATCCGTTGAATTTTCGGCATATTGGGTTGCAGATTAGAATTTTCCAAAGGGGGTTCGCTTAGCATGAAACACGTGAGGTCAAAGAAAACTATTTCTGCTAAAAAGTTAGCAATGATTGAGTCAGAGCTAAACATTTCAGATGTGTGTATCTCACACTGCACTGAAACTTTACCTTTGTTATTCATGTTTTATTATCTTTGCTTTTAAATGAGTGTTTTTAAATGCCATTATATAATATGTTTATTAAAGGTCCCATGTCATGGCCATTTCTACTGATCATATTTCCATTGTTGAGGTCTACTAGAATACATTTAAATTGTGCAATGTTCCAAACATTGGTTTCTCATACAGCATCTCTGTATAGTATGTGTATTCACTCTCTGTCCTAAACGGCTTGCTGGAGCTCCTGCCCCCCCCCCCCCTCCCTATGAGCCCAGTGGCCGTCTGCGAGACAGCGAAACCCAGCCCGAAACCAGCCCGAACACACACACACACACCCGCAGCCTGGCTGGGAGTTTGTATGTCCGCCGTCTCAGGGAGGAGAAATCGGCGGAGCTGCAGCTGAGAAAAGATTGAGTGTGTGTGTGTGAGGAAGTCCACGGATTGGTCAATTTGGACCAATCCATGGACTTAACGTAACGGCTCCGCGGACGTAACGTAACGGCTCCGCGGACATAACGTAACGGCTCCACGGATTGGTCCATTTGGGTATGGGCACGTCACTGTACCCAGGAAGAAAACAATGGAAAAAGAGAAATGTCCAACGAGGCGTTCTGGGGCAGCATAGACAGGTCTTTTCTGTGTTAGAGTTTTACTCGCTACAGGGTGTACTTTGAGGGTTTGTGACTCTGCAGACCGTTTACATGCAGAAAGACCTTCATAACACACAAGGGGACGGGGAATAACCAGAAAAGCATGACATGGGACCTTTAATGCTCTTAATGTCTTTCATTTTTGTAAAGCACTTTGAATTGCCTTGTGTTGAAAGGTGCTATATAAACAAACTTGCCTATGATTGGTGGAAAATGTACTGTTGGACTGGAGGAAAAAGGGGTGATCGGTCTGTAAATGAAAACAGAAAAGGGCACAAAAACACACCTGAGTTTCCTGTTGTGAGGAGGATTCTGGGAGGTTCAGGTTTAGAGATGGTTGAGTTGAGCGGAACAGCTTGTTGGGCAGGTACATGTTCACATCTGGATACAAAAAAAAAACAGCTTTAAAATCTACCTGAAATACTGTATAGATATTGTTGTGCTTGTTTGTCCGCTCACTTTCCACGTTGAGGGTCTGAGCTTTGTTCATCAGAGACACCATGTCCTTGGTTTTAGTCGCCAGAGCCTTGAACTTCCCCAAAGCTCCCGTCCCTTTCTTGGTGGGCTTTTTGGGGGCAGAGTGGGCCAACAGGTGGTCCAGGTACTGAGCCAGGTCGTCAGCCTCTGGAGACGAGGACAACAAGGTCAAAAGGTTTAAGCAGAGAGTGGGAAATAAAGAGGGAAAAGATAAGAGAAAAAAAAAACAATGGATTCAACTCACCTTTATCGAGTGTACACACACATCCTTAAAAACTCAAACAACCCTATAATTTAAAACTGAACCATCTTAGTTACTCACCCAAAACAAAATGATTGCATACTCAGACTACCTAGCCATACATATAGTTTAAAAGCTATATTCCACAAAAGTTAAAATCGTGTTTAAACAGTTGTAAAGACATGCTGCTGTTGAGTTATATTGATATGTATTGAACACTGTTAACAATAAAACCAACATTATCGGCATGGCTACAAACACCCAGATTTCAGGGGGGAATTGACCCTTTAAACTGTGAAGATAACCAAAATGCTTATCATGCACAATCAACATGCTTGCAAAGCTTCATCTGTAGACATTCACTTAAAGACAGCAGCTGTTAGACGAGCTATTTGAAACATGCATGTGGGGTAAATTGAGTCAGGCAAAAAAACCTGTTAAACTTGCAGAACTAAGATTGTTTGTATTGCTTTCCAATTTCTGTTGAGAATTGATTTGGTACAACACCTAACAGCCTGTTATTTTGACTGTTTTTAATGCAAGCAAAGCTCCATTTCTCAACCTTATACAGTCACTGCCACAAGAGCTGTCATATGACTTTGAGTTGTTTTATTTAACAGCAATAAGGCAGCCATCGTGTCCATAGTTTCAAGGTTGAGAAAACATTCAGCAACCAACAGTTATGCTGCATTTCCACAGCACGGTCTCACATGGTTTAGCTCAACTCCACTTGCTCTCTTTGGGAGTTTTCATTAGCAAAAGTTGTGGTTACTACCAGGTTTTTACTTTAATATGAAATAGAGAAATTAACTGGTTCTAAAAGTGTTTTAAAAAGTGAAAAGCAGAGCTGTACCAGACTGTAGAAACACGGCATCACAGAACAGCACAAAGAGGATGTGGATACGATCAGGGATTATTGAGAATCTGCTTAATGTTTGTCATGTTGAAGTAAGATAATTCACAGACATATTCAAATATATATTATTATTTTTGGATTGTTTAGTAAGGGGTTAGCTGAATGAGATCACTTTAAATGACAGGGAATCAAATTAGAAGACATGAGTGGGCTGCAAAAATATTAAATAATGAATTCCAATAGTAGGCTATTTTCCATAAACATGTTTTTAGGTCCCTTTTAAAGAATTTGGAAAATCTTGTCGCTCCACATTTCAAAAGTTTGCTTCAAAATGTGCAGTTCATGAGGTCATTTTGATCGTCTTATTAGATTAATAATGGTTTTACTTCTCATTCTACTCCAGCGTATGACCGTGTATGTATTTATTAATACATAAAACCAGGAAAGGTCAAACCAACGATGGAAAAAAAAACCTCAAACTCCATTTTTTCCATCGTTGGTGTCACCCTTCCTCCCCATCCATCCATCAATCTGTTGTTTTTTCCTTACCATCGTCATAATGTAACTCATGCAAGTATCCATCTTCGTCACCCTCCTCCTCCTCATCATCATCATCATTCGCTGCGTCGTGGCGAGCCATGCTGCCAGAAGCCTTACCGTCCAGGAAGCTCAGGTGAGCGAAACAGGAAGTGGTCAAGAACTCCGACAGCTTCCCCGTCTGGATCCTGGAGAGGAAGAGGAGGATGAGGAGGAGGAAGAGGAGGAGGAAGAAGAGATCAGTGAAAAAGGGTTATTTTATGGAAAACTCTTTACATGACGCAAAATATGTTAAAGAAAACCATCTTATATGTTGATTAATGACATTGTTTTAGAGCTTGGAAAGTAAAAATGTCAATAATGCTACTCAGACTTTAGTGTCATTGCCTGTATTTAAACTGGGCTATAGCTTGGATTTTATGATATAATTTGAGGTTTATGACCCCAACTTTTCTATATCCACCCACATGTAAAACATTTTAATAGGCCCCATGAAAAAGTGAGAACTTCTGATTAGTTAAACTTTTTCATTTAGAGCTTTTACTTTCTGGAAACTTCTTACTACTTTATCAATTTTTTTATTTACTTAAAGGGGCCCTATCATGCAAAATGCACTTTTTTATGTCTTTTATACATCAATATGTGTCCCCGGAGTGTCAGGGAACTCACGCAGCGTCAGAAAATAAAACCCTCTCTCTTTTCCTCCGTACCCAAATCTCTAAAAACGGGGCTACAACGGAGCTGATCCAGATTTGCGTCCGATATGACGTAATATCTGAAATGTGGACCCACGGCCCTATCAGAAAGTTGCTATCAGAAACAATGCCCGACTGTTTTGGACGTAATATGGTCGGTGTTTACATTAGCATCGCTAACACTCAGAGCTAACCTGTACTGGAGAGCATGTGTGTGAAGAAGCAGGAAATAAAAAGGAACTCACCTTGTGGTATAACCGGCAAGAGAGAAAGCCTTTGAGCTCCATACTGTTTCAGAAATAATCCTTGATAATCCATGATATGGCGTTTCATCACGGCAGAATTTAGTTTAGACAGTAGCTGCCGGGTCCCGCATGAGCTCAGCCCCCTCCTTTTTTATCAATTTTTTAAAGCTTCATACCCAAAATCAGCACTTTTGAAACAGGAAGTGAAACAGAGGGATATGAGGCATGGCTAGAATGGGTGATCTGTTTGGTATTTTGAGCAAAGCACTTCATAGACATGTTATTTATATATTTGTATATATCTGAGACCTATGCTATTGCCCAAAAATAGCATGATAGGTGACCTTTAAAATGTTTCTTTGCCTTCGACAATGTATATTATGTATATTTTGTTTGTAAATTCCCTTTGCCCATTGTTAAATTATGAAAAAAAAAGTCCCTAGTAAAAGTCACCTTGCTCCTCCATAATATCCGTCCTGCAGCTTCTTCAGTGCAGCCACGACTGTAGGGTCCAGGTCTGTGTGGTCTTCAGCTAAAACACACACACACACACACACACACACACACACACACACACACACACACACACACACACACACACACACACACACACACACACACACACACACACACACACACACACACACACACACACACACACACACACACACACACACACACACACACACACACACACACACACACACACACACACACACACACACACACACACACACACACACACACACACACACACACACACACACACACACACACACACACATATAAGTTTAGATTTCAAAGATGCTCCCATACTCAAAAAAGCAACCCTGTGCCAAAACAACAAAACACTTTTTAGATAAACAAGACATGTTCAGTCCTTTTTGATACATGATGTATATGTGCTTACTCAGCATGGTCTGTGAGATGGGGAAGGTGACGGTGGGTCGCCCGGTCATCCTCCACCTGGAGGCCAGGTAGGAGATCTCCGTCCTCAACATCTCCACGATCATCTTGTTGTCCAACGCCAAGTAGAACTGCTGGTGGTCGATGAACTGGAGAGGTTTGGGGCAGAAACGGAAATACTTGAGTTTGTATTTTCTATATAGTCAACATTTTCAGGATTAGTGAAGCTTGAGGGAATGTGTTGAACAGGGGAAATGATACTCTAAGTATTTGGGCTTTAATACTTCAAAATCTGTCTGGTTTTCATGACTCACTACCAAATAACACTTAGATGCAACTCTTCTGATTGATTTACGAGGAGTGGTAGTCTTGTAAATACTATATTCTGCTTTTATAATGTGCTTTTTGATCACGTTTAGGTTGTCTTGCTAACCTGAGGTGTGAATGAGAAGATGGTGTTTCTGATGGTGTAGAACTTGGAGGTTCCCAGCACTCCTATCCTCCTGTAGGGTCGCCCCGTCAGACCCAGCCTGGGGTTACGACCTGAAACACAGCAGTGGGGGGGTTAGTAAAGGCCTTAAAGGTCACTTATTATGCAAAATCCACTTCTTCACGTCTCTTCTACATCAACATGTGTCCCCTCTTCTTCATGTCTTTTCTACATCAACATGTGTCCCCTCTTCTTCATGTCTCTTCTACATCAACATGTGTCCCCTCTTCTTCATGTCTCTTCTACATCAACATGTGTCCCCTCTTCTTCATGTCTCTTCTACATCAACATGTGTCCCCTCTTCTTCATGTCTCTTCTACATCAACATGTGTCCCCTCTTCTTCATGTCTCTTCTACATCAACATGTGTCCCCTCTTCTTCATGTCTCTTCTACATCAACATGTGTCCCCTCTTCTTCATGTCTCTTCTACATCAACATGTGTCCCCTCTTCTTCATGTCTCTTCTACATCAACATGTGTCCCCTCTTCTTCATGTCTTTTCTACATCAACATGTGTCCCCTCTTCTTCATGTCTCTTCTACATCAACATGTGTCCCCTCTTCTCATGTCTCTTCTACATCAACATGTGTCCCCTCTTCTTCATGTCTCTTCTACATCAACATGTGTCCCCTCTTCTCCATGTCTCTTCTACATCAACATGTGTCCCTCTTCTCATGTCTCTTCTACATCAAACATGTGTCCCCTCTTCTTCATGTCTCTTCTACATCAACATGTGTCCCCTCTTCTTCATGGTCTCTTCTACATCAACATGTGTCCCCTCTTCTCATGTCTCTTCTACATCAACATGTGTCCCCTCTTCTTCATGTCTCTTCTACATCACCATGTGTCCCCTCTTCTTCATGTCTCTTCTACATCAACATGTGTCCCCTCTTCTTCATGTCTCTTTTACATCAACATGTGTCCCCTCTTCTTCATGTCTCTTCTACATCAACATGTGTCCCCTCTTCTTCATGTCTCTTCTACATCAACATGTGTCCCCTCTTCTTCATGTCTCTTCTACATCAACATGTGTCCCCTCTTCTTCATGTCTCTTCTACATCAACATGTGTCCCCTCTTCTCCATGTCTCTTCTTCATCAACATGTGTCCCCTCTTCTTCATGTCTCTTCTACATCAACATGTGTCCCCTCTTCTTCATGTCTCTTCTACATCAACATGTGTCCCCTCTTCTTCATGTCTCTTCTACATCACCATGTGTCCCCTCTTCTTCATGTCTCTTCTACATCAACATGTGTCCCCTCTTCTTCATGTCTCTTTTACATCAACATGTGTCCCCTCTTCTTCATGTCTCTTCTACATCAACATGTGTCCCCTCTTCTTCATGTCTCTTCTACATCAACATGTGTCCCCTCTTCTTCATGTCTCTTCTACATCAACATGTGTCCCCTCTTCTTCATGTCTCTTCTACATCAACATGTGTCCCCTCTTCTTCATGTCTCTTCTACATCAACATGTGTCCCCTCTTCTCCATGTCTCTTCTTCATCAACATGTGTCCCCTCTTCTTCATGTCTCTTCTACATCAGCATGTGTCCCCTCTTCTTCATGTCTCTTCTACATCAACATGTGTCCCCTCTTCTTCATGTCTCTTCTACATCAACATGTGTCTCCTCTTCTTCATGTCTCTTCTACATCAACATGTGTCCCCTCTTCTTCATGTCTCTTCTTCATCAACATGTGTCCCCTCTTCTTCATGTCTCTTCTTCATCAACATGTGTCCCCTCTTCTTCATGTCTCTTCTACATCAACATGTGTCCCCTCTTCTCCATGTCTCTTCTTCATCAACATGTGTCCCCTCTTCTTCATGTCTCTTCTACATCAGCATGTGTCCCCTCTTCTTCATGTCTCTTCTACATCAACATGTGTCCCCTCTTCTTCAATGTCTCTTCTACATCAACATGTGTCCCCCTCTTCTTCCATGTCCTCTTCTACATCAACATGTGTCCCCTCTTCTCATGTCTCTTCTACATCAACATGTGTCCCCTCTTCTTCATGTCTCTTCTACATCAACATGTGTCCCCTCTTCTTCATGTCTCTTCTACATCACCATGTGTCCCCTCTTCTTCATGTCTCTTTACTACATCACCATGTGTCCCCTCTTCTTCATGTCTCTTCTACATCAACATGTGTCCCCTCTTCCTTCAGTCTCTTTCTACATCAACATGTGTCCCCCTCTTCTTCATGTCTCTTCTACATCAACATGTGTCCCCTCTTCTTCATGTCTCTTCTACATCAACATGTTCCCCATCTTCTTCATGTCTCTTCTACATCAACATGTGTCCCCTCTTCTTCATGTCTCTTCTACATCAACATGTGTCCCCTCTTCTCCATGTCTCTTCTTCATCAACATGTGTCCCCTCTTCTTCATGTCTCTTCTACATCAGCATGTGTCCCCTCTTCTTCATGTCTCTTCTACATCAACATGTGTCCCCTCTTCTTCATGTCTCTTCTACATCAACATGTGTCCCCTCTTCTTCATGTCTCTTCTACATCAAACATGTGTCCCCTCTTCTTCATGTCTCTTCTTCATCAACATTGTCCCCTCTTCTTCATGTCTCGTCTTCATCAACATGTGTCCCCTCTTCTTCATGTCTCTTCTACATCAACATGTGTCCCCCTCTTCTTCCATGTCTCCTTCTTCATCAACATGTGTCCCCATCTTCTTCATGTCTCTTCTACATCAGCATGTGTCCCCTCTTCTTCATGTCTCTTCTCATCAACATGTGTCCCCTCTTCTTCATGTTCGGTTCTTAAACCCAGATCTACATCAACATGTGTCCCCTCTTCTTCATGTCTCTTCTACATCAACATGTGTCCCCTCTTCTTCATGTCTCTTCTTCATCAACATGTGTCCCCTCTGTGGAAAGAGACTCTGAAAGTTTCAGGAACAAAGATTCTCTCTCTTTTTG